ATTGTATGTATGTATGTATGTATGTATGTATGTATGTATGTATGTATGTATGTATGTATGTATGTATGTATGTATGTATGTATGTATGTATGTATGTATGTATGTATGTATGTATGTATGTATGTATGTATGTATGTATGTATGTATGTATGTATGTATGTATGTATGTATGTATGTATGTATGTATGTATGTATGTATGTATGTATGTATGTATGTATGTATGTATGTATGTATGTATGTATGTATGTATGTATGTATGTATGTATGTATGTATGTATGTATGTATGTATGTATGTATGTATGTATGTATGTATGTATGTATGTATGTATGTATGTATGTATGTATGTATGTATGTATGTATGTATGTATGTATGTATGTATGTATGTATGTATGTATGTATGTATGTATGTATGTATGTATGTATGTATGTATGTATGTATGTATGTATGTATGTATGTATGTATGTATGTATGTATGTATGTATGTATGTATGTATGTATGTATGTATGTATGTATGTATGTATGTATGTATGTATGTATGTATGTATGTATGTATGTATGTATGTATGTATGTATGTATGTATGTATGTATGTATGTATGTATGTATGTATGTATGTATGTATGTATGTATGTATGTATATGTATGTATGTATGTATGTATGTATGTATGTATGTATGTATGTATGTATGTATGTATGTATGTATGTATGTATGTATGTATGTATGTATGTATGTATCCTCAAAGGAAAGTGGGAAGAACATGACACGTCTGAACTCGAGCCGTTGCTTAGAACAAGGCCATTCGGTACCAGCAGTCAAAATGATGCATCAGAGAATATGCATGTATGTATGTATGTAATATGTATTACGTTTGAATTGTATTGTATATACGGCATGGATATTACAGTATATATATATGTGTACGGTATGCATGTTGTACGGTAGATAAATAGGTACTGTATGTATGTTTGATTTATGAATGATATGCAGCATCAGTTCCTATTTTTGGGAGATGAAGCTTTGAACGTTGACCAAGCATTTAAGAGCTGCGCCATGCATCCTACCTCTTCCACAGTCATAGAGAGATCTATCGTAGATACGACAAGGCCTACACAATACTTGCGGAGACAGACGGTGAGCAAGTCAGTGTTTGAATTTCAACCTTTTAGGCAATTCGTGTACCAATGTAATCCTAAAGAAGGGGAAGGCTTGGCTGGCCTAAACTACGTGCGATTCAGGACCTAAACTCTGAGCCGCATTACCCCACTTTACTTCACTCATTTATTACATGTTCCGAAAGAACATGTTGAACAATGAACTACAAAACGGCAAACACATTTTCGTACCTGCCAAACAGAAGTGTGTAACTAAGGAAGGATCAAGCAAGTTGTTGAGAGAATCAATCGAAGGAGAGGCTTAAATGAAGACCATTCATTTATTTACTCAGTTATTGTTTATATCAGTAACACCATCTTGAATGTGGCCTGAAGGAAGCGATTCATTCAAAGGGTGTCAAAATTATGTTAACTGCTAGTGCTCAGAGCCATACCAACCCTTTTCAGATTTCCCCACTCTTTCCTTTCGATGCAGAATGTCACAGGACCAGCGAAGTTGGAAATTCTGAAAAGTGTTGTAAGAACAAACATGATCTTACCATAATATTATGAAGAACCCTGCCAACTTCTTGAATGAGTGAAAACATCATGGACAATACATGCTAGCACTTAGGTTGATGAGCAGTGAGCTCAACCTTGTACCACGTTCCCGTCTCACATTCTCGTAATTTCTCCCGTGTACATAGTCATTATGGAGTTGTATTGTGCCCTTCAATTATCACTTGGCAGCATTCGAATCTGAATTGCGCAACATTCAACTGAACGACTTCAACAGATGTATGGAAGAATTGACCTCTTCCACCTCCACCCCCCTCTCCTGATTTGAGAGAAAGATGCAAGTACAGCTGCTTTCAGAGATGGTG